TTATATTACGTCAATCTTAAACTTATAATCAACTTAGGAAAAATATTTGAATAATTAAATGTGTTAGAATCTGTTCATTTCATTTATTATTATTCTTTTGATACTTGTTTTACTCGATAAATTATTAATTTAACTAAACCATTTGAATTAAAATCTTTATTCAAAAATCTGGTGATTATTTAGAGAATTTCGGATATAGATTTGGTTATCTATATATAACTAAAAAAAATACATAAAAATAGTTTTGAATTGTGTAATATATTTTCTGCTTGCGCCTAATCTATTCCATGTTAGCGTAAGTTTTTTTTGCTCTTTATTTTCTAGATTATTTAGGTTAATATCGGTAAGTTCAAGGTATGAATTCCGAATTGCAGATCATCAATATTGTTACCGAAATTCGGATCGGGTATATTTTTTTTATAGACTAAAACCCATTTCTTTTACGTATATAAATATTTTTTCCCCGTTATGACTTTTTTTTGTTATTTGATTTTTTTTTATTTAATTTTTTTTAATAACACTTTTTTTGTTATTTGATTTTTTTATGATATACTGAAATACAACTAATAAAATATTTATTATGGATATATGCAAAAAATATAGAAAATATAGCAAAATTATGACTGTTACATTTGTATGTATTTCTTAATTTATATATTTTGCAATTCTTAGTATTTGAAATGTATATAAATTTTATTGCAATATTAAAATCTATATAACTAAAAAAATTTCTCTGACGTTTGGATTAGTCTCTGTATAAATAATTTGAATTGTGTAACTTGAAACCCATGCCATATAATTAAAGCCCCCGCTTGATCTATTTATAGTAAAAAACTATTTGATCTAATCAGAATTTTTTTTTTTTGATTATTTTTTCCCTTTTCTTCTTTCAGTTTAATTTTGTTTTTCAACCGAAAAATTTATTTTTCTCATTCTTTTCTCGTTTAGGTTTAATTTTTTTTCCAAACTCAAAAAATTTTCTTTTTTATTAAATCTATCTATCTATCTATCTATCTATCTATATTTATAAAAAAATCCATAACGTTTAGACTACCCGCATAAAAAGGTGGATTTAAATTGGATCGTTTATCATCATGTGCCTGCGCCCTGTGCTACAGATTCTTATATAGGATTCAGAGTGGCGCATCATTTGCCATTTATTAGCTTAATTGGGCATCCCTAATCCTAATACAATTTTGAATTAGGCTGCATAAATGATTGGCGTAGGACAGATTTATAGCAACGAAATTAAAATAAACCAATAAAAAATTTGTTAAGCTATAAAAATAATTTAATCGTGACAATGAAATTCTTCACATGAGAAATCATCATTGTCTTTTTAGAAATCGTCATTGTTTTTTTTTAAAAAAAAAATTTCGGTTTTTTGAATTTTCCCATATGACAAATTTTTTTTTAAAAAAAATATTTTTCAGTTTTTTTGGATTTTCCCACATGACGAAAAAAAGATTCCTTTTCTTTTAAAAAAAAATCCACCTTTTCTTTCAAAAAAATTTTACATTTAATTTTTAATTTCTTCATCACGAATTTGCCGATCATTTATTGACATTGTCACCTAAGAAAAGGTGACTATTTTATATAAATTCTACAGATCAACATTTACCGTTGAATTGTCCAGATAGGTACCTACAAAATAAAAAAAAA